ATATATTTTATATAGTGTGTGTCCTGTACTCATACACACATACAGACATACATGTGTGTGAGACATATATATGTATATCTACTTTGTGTGTATATATATATATATATATATATATATATATATATAATATATATATATGTGTACATATATATGTTATATATGCATATAATACATATAATGTATTTTATATACTATTGTATATCTACGCCCAAATAATATATTATATATATGATATATATTTAATACATATATTTTATGTACCTATAATATATAATCTATATCATATATATATATAGATATATATATATAGATTATATCTTATATTATCTGTATATATTATATATACATTAATATAATAGGTGTATATATGTTATATACATTATATCATCTATATGTCTATATGTGCATATATATCCAATGTCTGTATATGTGTTTTGTGTGTATATATTTTCATATATATAAATATATATATTAATACATATACATGTATATGTATGTATATATCTGTATATATGTATATGTACTTAATATACATATATAATGTGTTTATATATCTATCTATACATATATTATACAATGTATGTATATGTGTTCTCGTGTATATAATATGCAATGATATGTATGCATATTTACATTATACACATTACGAATGTGTTCTTGTGGTATGTGTATACGTATGTTAAATGTGTGTATGTGATATCATAATATCTCTATAGTATATATACATATGTTTGTTATATGTATATATATTTATATATATGTATAATACTTAGATGTCTTTTACATATGTATGGTGGTGTGTCTTTATATATATATATATATATATATAATATTAATATATATAATATAATATATATATATAGGTGGTGGTGTGGTGTGGTGTGGTATAGCATACATATATATAATTTATGTAGGTATGTATATAATAGATATGATATTATATCTGTGTGTGTGTACTCACACACATACATACATGCACATACACATACACACAGATGAATATATAAATTCATATATTGTATTCAAGCGCGTGTATATACAAACATAATGAAAGAGGAGATAAAAGCTGTCTTGGGCAGAGTCATCTTGAACTTGAGTTCCTCCGCGCTGTCTGCAGGGTTGTGCATCTGCGACGTGACGCGAGTGACAGCGTAGCGGGATTCGATTCTGCCGGAGATCTTGAAGCTGGTCACGACCCCGGAGGCCTGGGCCTGAAGGAAGGAAGGAAGAGGGTGGGGGTGTAATAGGGTTATTTATGTTTGTTGTTGTTTTGGTTGGATGTGGTTTTAATGTGGTATTGGAAATTGGCTGTCTGTGGGTTTTTTTTTCCTGGATGATGCATGGTTGTGAAATTTGGTTGTTGCGGTTTAATTTTTCGCGATTGATGACGTTTGTAATGTGGTTCATTGCATGTTATAGTTTGAATTTCGTGGTTGATTATGGTTGTTGTTTGGTGATTCACTGGTTGTTATACTAAGTTACGGACAAACAAGGATTTTTCTCTCCGTTTTGTATGGTTACTTCAAGAACTTTTCCCGTTCTTTTTGGTATCTCAAAATCTTACTTGAAGTCTGGCAGGAATGAAGTGTAATCTGGGAGTCATATTAAGTCAAGAGAACTGATGAAAGGGTTTAATTGACACATTTAATTAGCAGACAAGAAAAATATTCATTGATTAAACTGGTTTGATGAACTGTAATAGATTTAATTAACGAGATTCTAACCTTCGTCAGATGTCCCAGTGAAGAGGCTATGAACAGCAGACGAAGGGCGAGATGCGTCCGTCTGAGCCACATTCTGGAAGCATAAAAGGATGAAGTCTGTGAAATTGATAAAATTGTTGCTAAATCTGACTTGATTATTTGCTAAATTGAACTTAAGACACAAGACATATGCGTCAGTGCGATTATCAGTAAATTTGCTGTTTTGCGTGAGACAGCAGATGTTTGTGTAATAATTATTTGCAGTAAGGAGAACAACAAAGATACACACGGATATAGCGAAAAGGCTTTCAGCATACCCGTGTTTTTTTTTTCCTGGTTCTTCCCTTCGTTGTTCTACTCGCAGTCTGTTCAACATTAATCCTACACATGTGTTCTTCAACAACAAATCGCATTCACCCACTATAAGTTCCAAACTCTGTATATGCAAATGTCGCTTATGTTGATACAGACGTTTGATACAGAAAGATATGTGTGTATGTATATATGTATATATATACACACACAAACATAAGCGGTAGTACTGTATTATGAAGTTAGTATCTGTGTCAGTAGAAAGTATACACAAATGGATTTGTCACCGTTAAATTATAGTGTACATACTGTACTCGTGGGAAGTGAAACTGGCACACATAGGTTCAATGATCTTTGCATTTTGTTGCTTGTGTTTGCACTTGCAAGCAAATGTGGCCACAAAGCAGAGTTGAATAATTGATATAAGAACCGTGATTGTGAACCCAGGAAGACTGCAGTATGTTATCCCTCATACTCTAAAAATGTATGCTTTATTAAAAAGGTCTTTGCAGATATTCCTTCACAAAACACAGCACGCAAAATAAAGAACAGTGCATGCATATTAATCCAGCCTAGGAAAAAAGGGCGTTCTTATGCAAATGAATTGGAAGCTAGCTAAGTTTGACGTCATGAATAATTTACGCCATTAACAACAGATCCATTTAAAAATCCAGCTCTATTTACGTGTGTATAACAATAATTTCTTTAATGGTGATGGTACTTATGGGCTTTAAATGATAATTACTATAATGATAAAGATGATGGTAATAGTGTTTGTAAGTGTGAAAAATACTTTAATGATAACGATATTGCCATATGATGCGGCTTCAGTTTCATCCGTGTTAGTTACATTTTACGCTTAATATCAAAGTCAGTGTACTTGTAGATTCGGCATCTTAATTCAGGAATAATAGTCCATATGCCTATGAACCTGAAGTAACATCCATTTAGGTAACATGAATTGATAACTGACAACACAGATTTTAAAGAATGACACACGAACGCGATGTCATATTACGAATTGTGAGAATCCCATTCTAACTCTATTCTTAACATTATCATTACTATTATTAATATTATTATTATTATTGTTGTTGTTATCATTATTATTGCCATCATTATCACCATCACTCTTCTTACTCTGCGTGGCAAGTACCCTGTACCGAAGTAGTTAGACCGTCAGTTTATGCATGTTAGAGGGAGAGAGGGAGGACAAGGAGGCCTGCAGAGAAAAGGAAGAGGAAACAAGGGGTTTAAAGAGGAATAGGGGATTGGTAAGGGGAAACGGAGTGGGAAGGGAGAGGGCGCGCTGAGAAAAAGAAGGGAAAGGGAGAGGGAGCGAAGGAGGTGGGAGAATGTATAGAGGAAGAGAGGGAAGTAGGAGGAGACAAATGAAAGGCTTAAAGGGGGAGGTGAGGAGTGAATTTAAGGAAGATTTGGGAGTGAGAAGGGATGGCAGAGCGGGAAAGGGAGAGGGAAAGGAAAAGGGAGAGGGGAGGCGAAACATGGACGGAGGGTGAAAGAGGGAGAAGGGAATACATCATATTATCTAATTTCTTTTTGTTTTTATCTTATTAAATTTGTTCTTGTAGTTTTTCCGTGGGATTTTCATGGGGGCACACCATTAGTACTATAAAAAATATTTTTAATAATGATGATTATAATGATAACGTTGAAAATGATAATGTTCAATAAAATTGATAATAATGACGATGATAATAACGATGATGATGATGATTATAATAATAATGATAGTAATAATAATAATGATAATAATAATGACAATAATAATAATGATAATAAAAATTTGTTATAATAATAATGATGAAATAGTATATAATAATGATAATAATAATGATAATAACAATGATATTGAAGATTCCAACTATAACAATAAGTAATGATTGCGATAATAATAACCATCATTATAATAAAATTTATATCAAGAATAATTCAACAAAAAAAGTAATATCAGATGTCAAACCTCGTTATTATCATTATCATTACTGATATCATTAATAATATTAATACCATTATTGCCATTATCATTATTGTCACAATCATTATCATCGTTGTTTTATCATCACAATTATTGTTATTACTACTGATATTGTTGCTATTATCATTACCATTATCATTATTATCATCATCATTACCAATATTATCAAAATTATTATCATTATCGTTATCATTGTTATTGTTATTATTTATCATTATCATTCATCTTCATCAAACTGATTCATTATTATTGTTTTTGTTATTGGTGTTATTATCATTACCATTATCATTATCATCATCTTCATCATTATTATAAAAAATACTATCATTATTATTATTATCTTATCACTCATTTATCTTCATCAAACTGTCAAACTTATTGTTGTTATTATTGTTATTATTAGTATTGTTATTGCTGTTATTATCATTACCATCATCATCATCGTCATTGTCATCAATGTTATGAATGTATTATTATTAATATTATCATTATTATTATCATTAATTATCATTATTCATCATCAAACTGGCTCACTATCCTGGAGATGAAAGAAGGGTGTGCCATTTGTAGAAAGTTCTGTACTTGTCCTGTGGAATTTCCGCTCTAAGTCGCAGAGAAGCATTCCTGTTATTATTATTGTTATAATTATTGTTATTGTTATTATCATTACCACTATCAAAACCATCATCATCATCATCACCATCATCGTGAGTAGTAGTAATGATATTATCATTTTTGTTGATTATCATTTATCTTTTCGTAGAAAATTCTTTACTTGTCTTGTGGAATTCCCGCTCTAAGTCGCAGAGAAGTAAAAACTAAATAAATAAATAAATAAATAAAAAATAAAACAAAATAATAATATACTAATAGCTAAAGATCTCTATGCACCTTTGCCAAACACCACAACACGAAATAACCTAAACATCACCCAGTTAATTAAAAACAAAAACACATGTGATAACGATAACCCCAGTCCAAAACACCTTTTTAAAAAATAATAACAATAACAACCCCACACTACGCAGTCGCACCCACCGACCTGGCAGCGTGCATCCTTCCGCGAGGTGGCTGAACAACACACTGTTTACTAAGCAGCTCCAGAAGGCAACTGCGGTTTAACAAGCGACCCCTCCCCAGTGGCATAGCCCGGGATTCAGGATCTTTCTTACCCATTCGTCCCATCTTTCTCTGAGTCTGTCTCTCTCTCTCTCTCTCTCTCTCTCTCTCTCTCTCTCTTTCTCTCTCTCTCTCTCTTTCTCTCTCTTTCCTTCTTCTTATTCTTTCGTCCCATCTTTCTCTCTGAATCTGTCTGTCTCTCTCTTTCTCTTTCTTCTTGTCTCTCTCTTTGCTTTTATTTCTTTTAAGTTTAAGCAGTTGCTTAAATGGATATATGTGTGTGTGAGTTTTCATAAATGGATAAGTCGGTTCAGAAGTGGAAGAAACGAAACTGAAGATGAGCCCCACAGTGGCAGGCCATCATCTGCATATTATGAAGCGTTTTGAGAAAAATCTCTGAAAAACCCCTGGAAGTTCATCACCGCGTTCCCTTCCACCACAAGGCAACCTTCTTCAAACAGAGCTGTTCTACTAAACGTGAAAATCTCGCTGAGAAATCGTCCTACATCCATCCCTTGCAGCTCCTATTTAGCCCCATCCGACTTCTTTCTGTTCCATCTTTTGTAAAAAATAATTGAAAGGTGACCAATTTATCGTCGGCCAGATGTAAAAAGAGCTGCTTCTGATATGGTTTCATATA